CACTGCAGTTTATTAACTTTAAATGGGTTGGGGGAGGCACATTCTAATGGTAACCATAATTATACTTACATGTACCGTAAAATTCCGCCAGAGGGTCCCATCTCCCCCATCCGCCCCTCCTTGACTTCTTGCCAGGGAAGTGATTGATTGTCAGTTCCTCGTACGACTCTGTGATGCCGTACTCTACTGCAGACGCGTGCTCGACCCTGTTGGAAATGTACGCAACGGTGCCCACCCTCTTGACCAGGATCGCACAAACCCTGAGTTTTGATGGGTCTGTACGACTCTTGGCTCTTGACCTTTGGTTGGTGTCCGAGATGCACGGACAGTTTCCGTAGGGTGAGTACTTTTTCATGTAGTACTGAATGCGGTAAGGAGGACTCACCCATCCGCCCTTCCACCTGTACCTACTCGAAGGATGGCGGAGGTAGGGGTGCTCTGGCGGGATTTTATGGTACATGACTTGTATCTGAATGCAGCCCATATGTTTGAAAGCAGCTCATACAATTGAATGCAGCCTGTACATTTGAATGCAGCCCATACATTTGCATGGAGCCCATCATGTGACATTTGAATGGATCCCATACATTTGAATGCAGCCCATACATTTGAACGGAGCCCATTCATTTGAATGGAGCCCATACATTTGATTGGAGCCCATACATTTGAATAGATCCCATACATTTGAATAGACCCATACATTTGCATGCAGCCCATACATTGGAATGGAGCCCATACATTTGCATGGAGCCCATCATGTGACATTTGAATGGATCCCATACATTTGAATGCAGCCCATACATTTGAATGGAGCCCATACATTTGAGTAGACCCCATACATTTGCTTTCAGCCCATACATTTGCATGCAGCCCATAAATTTGAATGCAGCCCATACATTTGAATGGAGCCCATACACTTGAATAGATCCCATACATTTGAATAGACCCCATACATTTACTCGCAGTCCATACATTTGCATGCAGCCCATACATTTTCATGAAGCCCATACATTTGCATGCAGCCCATACATTTGAATACAACCCATACATTTGAATGGGGCCCACACAAACTGTACGCAGGAATCAAAATGGCGGCCAAACCTGAAAAATTTGGGCATAGGTCTGTTCCTTTTCCCGATTTTTTTCATGATTTTTGGATTTTCTTCAAATGGATACTTTGTACCCCAACTATAATATAAATTATTTCAAAGACAAGTTGTAAATTTCCCTCCCCATTGACAGGTGTTCCGTTCCATTTTTGGGTCAGCAATGAGACCAGGACATGAGGAAGCGGCCACTTTGAAGCAACACTGGAAAGTCAAAATTGCATGCAAGTAAAATAGTGAAAGGTGACAGCCTCAACTCAGGATCCATGCTCATTGCTGATTCTTTGAAAATAAATAATATGGGGGGGGGGGGAGGAGCTGCTGGCGACTCCATGACGTGGCTGGCCTTCATTGACGTTCCAAGCCGATAACCTGTACAGTCATACAGGCTAATGCAGGCTAATACATGTGCAAATTGAAAAGCAATGCAGCTATACAATCTTAGACGTCTACATGCGAAGGAGCACATCTGCCTTTCAAGTACGTGTACCTGTATGCAATCACCACAAATCCTAGGTAGGGGTATTTCAAATTTCCACGGACAAGAAACGGCCTGCAAATAATTCCCAGAATAGTGTGTGTTGCTAGTGCTGGATAACGATCTTGAAAGACACGTAAACTCCCGAGAAAGGGGTCAGTCTAACAACATCAAATGTTACTATCCTTCCCTTTGAGAGCACAGTGGAAGCTTCAAATTGAGAAGTACCGGGTATGCATTTTGCAGGTGTGAATTCCCGGTGTACGACTCAACACTAGGGGTCAATCTGTGATTCAATTTCTACCTACAGTTAGTGTAAATTACGCTCTTCAAATCCTGCGCCTACTCGAAGTGTTCACTGTGGCCCAATGTGTGTGCGTGTTTGTGGGGGGCGGGGGTGGTGTATCTGAAAGATTTGCCAGGATATGGGATGTATGAAGTGCAGAATTTGCTGATGGCAATTGCACAAACTTGATATGACAATGACTGTCCTACTTGAATGTAGAAAGACATGCAACAAGTTGAAAGACCCGCATCAAGTTGAAAGACATGCATCAAGTTGGCTCAGAAATTGCTTTACCTTTCTTAGAGCTGGGGTGAAGGCAAATGCCGGTCTTCATCCAGCCCAAACGGTGATCACGCAGCTGGTGAAGCATAGCTGTGCACGGATGGTAGTAATGTTACTGACATCCGCAGGGCAGAGAACGATGATGCCAGCAGCAGCATTGTGACACACAAGACGCAACCAGTCTTGTGATTGCTGGCATAACCTCGGCATTAGCGTGATAGATGATACACCCGACATTTGAGGACCAAGCGGTGCGAACAACAACTTGGTAGCGCTGATCACAGCCGTAGTAATGAGAAAGTCAATGTCGGTAGTGGTAGTAGTGAGCCACAAGGTTGGTGGTACAGAGTTGGCTGATGCCAGTTATAGCGAAGCGCCAGTAGTAGCGAAGTATCCAGCATCAGTAGAAGCGAGATGTCCTGAATCGGCACTAGCTAGGTGGCCGGCATCGGTAGTAGCGAGGTGGCCGGCATCGGCAGTAGCGAGGTGGCCGGCATCGGTAGTAGCGAGGTGGTCGGCATCGGCAGTAGCGAGGTGGCCGTCATCGGTAGTAGCGATGTGGCCGGCATCGGTAGTAGCGAGTTGGCCGGCATCGGTAGTAGCGAGGTGGCCGGCATCGGTAGTAGCGAGGTGGCCGGCATCGGTAGTAGCGAGGTGGTCGGCATCGGTAGTAGCGAGGTGGCTGGCATCGGTAGTAGCGAGGTGGCCGGCATCGGTAGTAGCGAGGCGGCCGGCATCGGTAGTAGCGAGGTGGCCGGCATCGGTAGTAGCGAGGTGGCCGGCATCGGTAGTAGTGAGGTGGCCGGCATCGGTAGTAGCGAGGTGGCCGGCATCGGTAGTAGCGAGGTGGTCGGCATCGGCAGTAGCGAGATGGTCGGCATCGGCAGTAGCGAGATGGTCGGCATCGGTAGTAGCGAGATGGTCGGCATCTGTTGGAGTGATTGAAGAGATGATCTACATGAGCAGGTACGAAGCAAACAGTTACGGATTAGCACAAGGTAGAGCATTTGGTTATAACAGTTAGCAAACACTCAAGCAATTCTTGGCAAGCACAGTAGTAATAAGGAGATTGCAACATGCAGAAACGAAATTGTGCAACGTACCATTTTATTGGCTTATACTTAGCCGTGCTGCGGCGAATCCGGGTCCTTTGGTCTTCCATATCCAGCTGAGTGGGAAAATACAATTACACAGCTTCACACAATGGATTAGAAGCATACACCCATGTGACAGCAGCCAATGATGACCATTGTCACATGGGGAACTAGCAAGCCAAACAGCAGAATGCATACCCTACCAATGTCTACGTACGTACCACCCAAATATACGTTACCAGGGTGACGGGCGTTAGCGAGGCTGCCGTGGTGTCCACAGAGTGCTTGAACCTACCTGAGTGGGAATGAATGAGCATGACACAATAATTATTGATTGGTTACATACACCCACACAACAGCAGCCTGTGACAGCCACTGTTGCATAGGGATAGTACGAGTACCAGACACGGGTACAAAACAACATGGTGTTGTACAATACACCAAGCATGCACTACAAAACAACATATTTACCAATGGTAGGTCTGATGACTTGACGCTGTAGCGCTGGTTGGATGTAGCGCTGGTTGGATGTAGCGCTGGTTGGATGTAGGAGAGATGACCTAAAAGGCTCTTACCTGGCCCTGATCTATGCCTAACTAACCTAACTAAGAATGTGAAAAAGATCATAACGTAAATATACTAGAATTTTGAGTGAGAAAGATGAAATAGAATATGAATATGGTGTGGTATGGGGGTCAAATATTGTTCAGTGTTTGTGGTTGATACTTGATAGTCTGACTGGCTCCAGCCATCAGTTGTCGCCACTGCTTGACTGTTGCACTAATCATCGGCCGAGTGTGTGCCGCTCCACCTCGCTCCCCGCCGGCCGCATTGTGTAGTACGAGTTCTCGTACTCGCTGAGTGTGTAGTAGTGTGCTGGTCCCTGAGGTGTGTGTGTGTGGGAGCATACATGCAGGTGTGGAAATAGTAAGATTGATATGATTGTAGAATGCAATGGTACAGATCATTTCTACCACCAACAAATGAATTCGTGATAAACTCTACCAAACATAATTTGGGATCGTGCATGATAGGTATTGCAATACTATTAGGGTAGGAATTACAATATTGCAGACTACAGTCCATATTGGGCATGGGTTGAGACACAGGCAATATAGGGCAAGGGTCGACTCGTGATGGCATACATAATATTACAGGAAACACCTCAAATGCATAAAAATCCAGTGATCAATAGCAGAAGTTGCCTTTCATGTTGCGGTTCTTCGTTTGCCGTAACATTTTCATTGGCAATCCCCCATAAAGCATACCAGGAATGTTTAAATGTGTTCGATTTGATTCGCAGACAAATTCAACTACTACATCAGAGAATTTCAGAATACCTCTCCTTCCGACCTCATTTTGAGGCGAAAATTTGATCGGAGCCAGTCATGGAGTTGCCAGCAAGCTCCCCCCCCCCCCCCCCCCCCCAATCCCTCCACTACCTTCCCTGAGCCCCGGGGGAATTGGAACGGAACACCTGCCATGTTTTGTCAGCTACATAGCAACAAGAAAATCTTGCTGCTATGAAGTGACCCCTCCCAAGTCTATAAAGAATAGGAAATCATAAAGTGAAGCATAGGTGGCAAATGACAAGCCTGGAACAAAAACACACAAGAGGGAGACACACCACCATACAAAATATCAGGGGCAGTTATGCAAGCATTCTCAAAAGAAATCCTAAATGAGGCCCCATCATAATTGTGATTGCCAGTTGCGCTAATTTACTCATTCAAAGTCACCTAGGCTAGGGCAAATCTGGCCTCTCCACTGCCTCCTCATTCGTATAGTGGCAGAAACAATGCAAATAGCCGAAAATCCTTCAATATATGGGTCGTGCAGACTCTTCTTGTTCACATTTGAGGTTGCACTGAGTCAGTCCAGGGAGTCTGGGTTTTCTTGCTGACAGGATCCAAATGAAGTTGTAAGTCTAGTATTTTGAAAGCGTTTGACTGGGGCTTTCCAGCCTAAACCCGGCCTATGTTGGGATTTCCTAGCTGCAAATGTGATTTTTACCAAACGGACTGTAAAGTATACTTCAAAGTACAACGGCATAATAGCTGTGAGGTTTGAAGGAGCTCAAATGGATACTTATCACGACACCGCGGCAAATCCTATTTCCCAGCCTCCACAGGGTTGTCCATGGCAAACTCGGCTAGACACACACAAGAAACGATGATACAGAACAGGGTCCTTCGAGGAGAACTATTCAATAAGCTATAGTACCTTGCCTAATCTTTCACACTCGTATTAGTTGTTAGCTGTTCCACTGGACGTATAAACCTACAGAATTCACATTGCCCACGATCTCAAACTTGCCATTCCGCATCCATATGGTATCACCATTTCTCACAGGAAAGCTTAGTCAGATACTAGTAGTGCTAACAATGTGAGCATGTGTACCTGTGGGAAAGAGGGTGGGCGGCAGCAGCAGCCAAGTTCTTGATGAAGAAGCCTTGGTCCACTGTGCCGATGAACAAACAGTTCTGAACTCGTAGCCTGACCTGCGTTGTCCTGCTGGCAGTGGAGCGGGCTGGCTAACAATGCTTGGCATGGGTGTTTTTCAGTTGCTGGCGCTTTGCGTAGGATGTACTTCAGCCCGACATCTGACTGCACATTGCTCAGTGGTTGCAAAACACAATAAAACAGAAGTAAACAAGTGAATGTGTAATCCCCTGAAGGCATTCATGCATGGCCAGACGCAAGTGGAGAGGAGCACAGAAGGTACATGTACACCGTATCCTATCTGGAGGTGACGGAATGGCATTTACCATGATGGCTGACTATACCATCTTGAAATAGCGCCTGACGCCCCTCGATACACTTGGAGACAGCTCCATTGAAGGGTTATTGGATGCTGGCCATGCATTGCATGGTTTCTTGTGTGGTTTGAAATGGAAATCCAAGACATCAATGATGGGGACTTTGCTAGTCGGGTCTCAGTCTTCAGATACAGAGTTCCGAATGTCTACAGAAGGTGGACAGTGGTCTGGGTATGTGAATGTCACAGAGCCATCTTGTCTGATCTATCCCCCTTCCCCCCACCGTTTAGGAGCCGCACCTGACACGTGAACATGGGGTTGTGGCGTCCCACGGAGGTGGAAACGTGGTTCTTGACCCACTCTGTACCCCGACCTGTGTCATTCTTTTAAGTTGCATTATTTGCCTATATTTGAACAGGGGATCCCTTCCTGAATTTAATGATTCAGCGGCAGAAGAGGATTGGATATCAAGATAACCAGCAACACTTCAACAGTACCTTTTGGTTGTGAGCAATGCCTGGTGCTGTTCCATAGCAATCACAATAGAATATCCAGAGGCCTAGCAAATTCTGCGAGGTGATGACAGTGGAATGGAATGCTGTCCGGTAGGCGGTGATTGAGAAGTCGACTTGAATGCTCGTGGCAATCCATCCGCACGTTGCTCAGCATTCACACACACACACACACACACACACACACACACACACACACACACACACACACACACACACAGAAGAAATATCACCCATTGTATCATGATGTGGGAAAGCAGGCTGAGATAAATGACATGCCAGGCAATAGCGGGAGGGGAGGGGAGGGGAGGGTGTTAGACCTAAGATCAGTGCGGCCAATAGCAGCCAGTGCCAGGAGAATTGGTCAATTGTCTACTGGTCATACTTCAACATATTGAGATTAACTAGACTTTGGAAAGCTATTTCCAGTATCATCTGAAACGGAGTTATATTCCCACCATCATAGAGCACACAGTAAGCAGCAATCAGGAACATCGGACATTAAATTGTTAACTGTATGCCTGCGAAGGGCTCATACCGGTACTCCGCCAACTGGGAACATAAAATTGTCAACTCTAACAACCGTCTGCTGGAGGATTAACATTAAACATATACAGAGATAGACAAGGGCACAAGTGGCTGTATCATCACCAAACCCATTGAAGAGGTCACACATACACAGGTACATGTACGTGGATGCTGGCAGTATGTGGCACACTTTCTACCATGGTTTGAAATGGAAATGGAAATCTTGAAATGCGCTATCGCCAGTCGAATTCAGTATGGAAATTGCAAGAAAATGTCAGATGCGCTCAGGATATTGGATTTAGATATCACACAGAAACCTTCATTACTGCCCGCTGTTGCTTAGAGTTAACTGGTTAGCGGTTTAGCAGGCTGATAGTTTCAGAAGAGAATTAAAAAAAAGAAGAAATCATAAAATCATAATGGGCAGCATGAGGCCTCGATGCGAATCATCCAAAATCCATCAACTTGGTATTCACATGGTACATGGTATTCACTGAGAACATTTTGCGGAGGCGCCATTTCGAAGTGCACCCTATTGCCAGCATCCAAACTTCTACACAATACAACAGTAGGTCAAATGGCCCCGTGAACTGAGCCTCTATCAGACTGTAGGTAGCATTGCTTTGTTGTACAAACAGCCACAGCTAACACGGCGATTTGTGACGCTGGTAAGCAACAGAACGTTCACCTAGACAGACATGTACAATTATATATATGTCGATCTACTAGTAAATGACATATAACGGTCAAGCAGTGCGTCCCTCCAAAGAAAGACGAGCACTTTTCATTTTCTAACACATATCGTATAGTGGACTTAAAGATAAAGAAAGGACAACATGTTACGAGTTATGACTAACTGTCCACCAACGTAACCAGATCATAATACAGTCAGTGAGTGCGACAAATAATCGTATAGTATTGTCGTTAGCGACCACAACACATGTACTATTAGGCACACTCGTGTGGATATACAACACTGTCTGACGTCACAGCAATAATATCCACTCATGAAATTTCCACCAGACAAGCAAGAGCACAAGTCATTGCACCTATTGCTTTGCGAGCGATGTCGTACAGTGTTACACTCTATAGCGATCAGACGCAGTCTCTTACGTGTAATCCGGTCGTCCTGGCAAGTTAACGTCACTATCCAGACCGACTCCACGACCCTTGAAAGATGGTAAACTACCTACAGGGGAGAAAAGAAGAAGTCGAAGAAATGCTTGACCGGAACAGTTTTGACTTTTTCAGGAAGCGCACTCTACCTTGTCCCGGCAACCGCCCGCAACAACGGAATGGGTTCTACATTCTACAGCACCACAACTGGCAAGGCAGTCCAGTGCCGACAGACGGGTGCTTCGCTCTCCGACCATAACAAATTAACCACGCGTTATCAGAAGTTTGCCACAAATTCAAAAACGACCAGGTAAAGAAGGTAAGTTGAACTCACACTGCCATGCGTCGCTCGTCGCTGACAAGTGCTCATCAAGACGAGGCGTATAGTTTTGATTACAAAGGGCTGTGGACTAATGGTCTTGACACGCCTCAACAAATGCAAGCCGAAATAGGGAGTAAAGAATTTAGCGACAGTTCAGACTGCAAGCCACAGAGCAACGGACGAATATCAACAGGTCGACAAATGAATTGCACGTGTTCTAGTACTTACATCAGTCTTCTTTCAACGGAACACGCTTCCACGTAACTCACGCATGCGCAGACCAACTGAGAATGGCAGCGACTTCTTCACTCGCCAGCAGGAGTCGTAAAAGCCCTGGTTTCGAGGAAAAAAAGAGAACAAAATAGCGAAGGCATCAAGGTTGGGTACAGCTGCAATGGAGCAGTAGTGAAACACTGCATGCACAACAGCCGTGTGGTTGGCGGAGAACAGATACCTGCCATGGCCCAAACCAAAACAAGAAGTTGATTCGGAAAGAAGAAGATTCAGAATTACTAGACAAACCCATGGCAAACGAAACCAACCACTTACTGACAATGAAGCCGCTGGGTGAAACTTCTCACGAAGCTGTTGTTACATAGCGCAAATCTGCCTTTACAGACACCCACCGTTTTGCCAGTCTTCTCCAAGACGCATAGCTTTTCGTCCAGTCCCTATCTATTTCAGGCCACAACCGCTCTGTTAGCGAGCGGTGTAGGTACTGGTTCGCCAATATTAGAGGCTACCTGAAACTTTTCATGATGGAGCATCGTATGCGTCAAGACAAGTCACAACTCAGTTTGCTTCAAGCACGAATTGCCAACCATCAGTTAGGAGGAGGAGAGAGAAAGCTGAAACGCAAGCCATCTCCGACAACAACATCGAGGAAAATGAGTCGCTAGGCCTCGGCTCGAAAGAACTTCTGCAGCTGCGTAGATTCTACCAATTCCCGGGATGTGCACGGGGTCATGGGGTCACGGGTTCATCTCCTGGTAGACTGCTGGATAAGCAGTTGTACGGTTCCAGAAGACTGGAGAGCATTACGTACTCGCTGTCTATTGGTCAACGTTGGCTGAAATTATGAGAAAGCACGTGGCAGACTTGACCCGAGTCACCCGAAAATCATGATGCAATATCAGAGCTAGCTAGCTAGAGAGGTTGGGCACAACGAAAATTCGAGTAGATCTACTTTTAACGAAAAAGGCTAACGAATATTCGTAAACCGTGAGGTTGCGCACATTCTCCTACTGTCCGGAAATATGCTGTGGTTGTGCCCACAAACAAGAACAAGGGAAGCAGTCATGATCCTGGTAACTATCGCCCTATCTCTCTGCTGAACACCTATTCCAAGATACTTGAGAGAATCGTCTCTGATCGGCTGTTGCAGTGTAGGTCTACCATTATCTGGCACCTCTGCTCCATGATATGCAATCTGGGTTCCGCCATGGTGACTTTACCTCCCTACATCTAACCAACCTCGTCCAGCGACCGTGCACCTTCCGAGACCGCCGGCATTACCTTAGCCTGTGTTTCTTCGACCTGGCGAAAGCGTTTGATCCAGTTTGGCATGGGGGTTACTACTGTACTAGCCAAGCTGCATGCTTACATTATGGGGTTATGGGGTGGTCATCGGCCGCCTGCAGTCGTGGCTTGCCTCACATCTCAACAATAGAACACCAATAGAACTCAATCAGTAAAGCTTGGTCTAGTCCCCTCTGATTCTCTCCCTGTTTTGCGCTGGTGTACCGCAAGGGTCCACCCTACTCCCTAGGACCGCTACTGTTCCTGGCCTTCGTCAACGACCTCCCTGTCCTCAACCCTGGCGTGCCTCTGTTTGCAGACGACAACTGTATGCTGCGCGTGAACTTCTTCGTAGCAGGTCGACGCGGCGCGCACGGGTGCGGAGAGTCAAGGCATGGAGTTGTAAAATATCAGTATTTTAGTATTTTTTTAAACAATCGACGGGGAGACAATAGTCGTAAAATGGCAATAAATATGATAAATTGTGCACTCATAACAACAGCAAAAATGAAGAAAGTCAAGTTCCATAACGTTTTCTTGTGACTGTCATCAGTGGAACGCCGTCACATAAAAATGTAATAACTAAAACACACACTTATAATACATGTAGCTAATATGGTTTCAGGTAGAAATACAGCAGCTAACAAGTACAAAAAGCGAAGTTTGCACCTTTGCAATGTGTGAATATAGTGCATGTGAGAAAGTTAGTGGCAGATGAATGTGATACTGTGTGAATGAATGTAATGGTGCGTGTGTATTACTTGAACAGTGTGAGTGATACGTTTTCTTTCTGTTTACATAGCACAGGGTCACGAGTACGAATATACACAGCTTCCAACACCTGCTATATTCACACATTGCAAAGGTGCAAACTTCGCTTTTTGTACTTGTTAGCTGCTGTATTTCTACCTGAAACCATATTAGCTACATGTACACACACTTGAGAGGGACGAAAAGCGTTTCGCGTCCCTCTCAAGTGTGTGTACTAGGCTCTGCACCTTGGTGTATTGAGCACTCTCACGAGCAACCACAACTCCCTCCGAGTTAGCTACATGTATATAAGTGTGTGTTTGAGTTATTACATTTTTATGTGACGGCGTTCCACTAATGACAGTCACAAGAAAACGTTATGGAACTTGACTTTCTTCATTTTTGCTGTTGTTATGAGTGCACAATTTATCTTATTTAAAGGGGAAGTTAAGGCAAAAATTAAAATTTCATCAGTTGTAGTCCTCGGGGTGCTTAGTCGAATGGTCGTGGTCCGAGGAAGCTGAGACGCTCCCTTCCTACTTGAATCCCAATCGAACTCGCGCACTTCCACCGAAACTGGGTGATTGCGCCCTACTAGATGGGGATTTGTATGCAAAATGTCACTAAAAGCGCCATTTCGTTCTTATAAAAGCACGGATGACCGCGATTGGCCCATATGTTGTAGTCTTTGGGACGCTGAGTCGACTGGTTTTGGTCCGAAAAGGCTGCGATGCAGCGTTCCTCCTTTATTCCCAATCGAACATGGTTGAAGAAGCGGTCACGTGGTCCTGGGTGCCCAAATCACCTGGTCACCACGCCAGCAGGTGACAACTTTCACACCAAGGTTCAACTCGGGTTCAACTCGAGTGACAGGACTGCACCCAAAAAAGGTCAAACAGGCTAGTAAGTTGTACCCTGCAGGCACGGTGACCAGCTGACTGGTGTACGCAGGAGCACGTGACCGCTTCTTCAACCATGTTCGATTGGGAATAAAGGAGGAACGCTGCATCGCAGCCTTTTCGGACCAAAACCAGTCGACTCAGCGTCCAAAAGACTACAACATGTGGGCCAATCGCGGTCATCCGTGCTTTTATAAGAACGAAATGGCGCTTTTAGTGACATTTTGCATACAAATCCCCATCTAGTAGGGCGCAGTCACCCAGTTTCGGTGGAAGTGCGCGAGTTCGATTGGGATTCAAGTAGGAAGGGAGCGTCTCAGCTTTCTCGGACCAAGACCATTCGACTCAGCACCCCGAAGACTACAACTGGTGAAATTTTAATTTTTGCCTTAACTTCCCCTTTAATGTAGGTTTGCAGCGTACGGCAAACCGTAGTTATCGCTGACAACCGAGCAGCAGGCAAAAGCCACGCGCGTGGCTAGGCGCGCAACAATGGGGGTGTCTGGCATGCAATGGCGGGCAGCCGTACTGGGGAAAGCCCAGGCCGCAGTACGAGTACGCCCATATGCACGGGCGAGACTACCCCATATTTGCATAAAGGTATCAGCGCTACTAATGCAATGTTTACTACAAGCAGGGCTCATGGCGCCTAATCTCTATATTAGGAAGCAGTTCCTTTTATGGCACGAAAGGACTCCAGCGCGCGTACTAAGCCTCAGCCAAGGTACAGTACTAACCGAGTACGCAAGATAGAACAGGCGGTGTGGCGGAGCAAACATACCACGTATGGAAGAGGCGAAGTCCCCGGATGCCG